AGACGAAGAGCAGGTCCGGGAAAGGTGGTGAAGACCGCAAAACCGCTAGGCAGGCTGCTGCCGCCCGACGCTGCTGAGGGGGGCATGCTGGCGGACTGGCGTCGACCTCGGACCCGGACGCGCGCGGCTCTGGCTCTGAGCTGACCGCTCGCGCTCTCGGGGAGCCCAGTGGCCGGACACTCCCGCGCGCGGGTTAAGAGCTGGGGCGCCGGAGCTGAAAAGGGAGGAGCCCGGGCAGCTCCCGCCCGAGACCACGGTGGGGGGGGGGCGCGTCCGGAGGGACCAGCCTAGCGCCACTGGCGCCGCCCTGAACCACCTGGAGAATGGGGCGGGAGTGTGACTCCTGCGTCCCATGGCTGGGCACCACCTCCCACTGGGATCAGGACAAAGCCACTACGGGTGAGGCGCTTTGCATCCTCTGTCCTCTTCACAGGTGATCGCCACCCTTAGGAATGACGCCATCAAAAAGCAGACCCCCCAGAGCTCCCTGCTGTAGTTCCCCCGGGGTCACCATTGCTTGAACTGTTCTTAAATTGGGTCTTTTTCATCTTTCCACTCTTTGTCCACATGACTTCGTTTAATCCCACAGAGCCTTTCTGGTATCTGTCACTCCCTCTTACAGGCTCAGAGTGGGGAAGGAACATGCCCAGGCCACACGGAGGGCAACTGGGCCCCGACGCTAGAAGGCAGACTGTCTCCACTGCCTCTGTGCCCCACGCATGAATTCCACACACTTGAAAACCAGAGGTGGTGGGTGGTGGTTCTCAAGAGAGCTGTCCTCTGATAGGCTGATGGGGCACCTGTACCCTGCTGCCTCCAGTGACAGTGAGCCACTGAGTGTGACCTTTTTTGCTTGTTCCTGACCTCTTTGTATTTCCTGTGCCAGGAAGACTTGGCCCTCCACCACTGCCTGAGAAAGTCATCACCAAGCATTGTCTGGGTGTTACAGAGATGGGGACACAGACAGAGGGTGGCAGGTCTTTGAGTAGGAAAGACAGACTCTCTGCTAACTACATGAGTTCCATCCAAAAAGATCATCATACTCGGAGTCAGTTGACATCTGGGCTGGGCCTGCACTAGGTACTTTCCCATCCTCTGCAGGTCAAACACTAGAGGTGGCACAAGGCCAGTCCTTCTACAACCAGCTTGGGGTGGGGACAGGCTCCCATTTCTGAGCACCTCTTGGGTGCACTGAAGATTTAACAGTACACCAGATAGAGGCCCCAGGCCTCAGTTGTCCCATCAGTACCATCTCAGTAAGTGCTGGGCAGCAGGGATAGCATGGGAGCAGGGCAGATAGGATCCCTGTCTCTTTGAAGCTTATCCTGGGAGATGGAGATCAACCAAACACGTAACAGAATTTGGTCTGGAAGGAGAGTGCAGGGAGCCCCAGAGCATCCAGCAGCCTAGCCTGACTTGGCCTAGGAGTGGAAGAAGCTTGTGGGTGGAAGTGACCCTTGAGTGAGTGAGTGTGGGTGGTAGAAGGAGGAGTAGACAGCCTTCCCTGCAGAGGAACAGCATGTGAAGTCCCTGGAGGATGGTCAGGCACTGCTCCACACACTGGGAAGTCTGCAGTATAAATCAGGAAATTCGTATTAGGAGTCAGAGCCCCACTCTGCTGGGGGGAAGGGGGCCAACAGCCGTGGGCATCCAGGGCAGAAGGAAATAGGCATGTGTGGCAGATCTGAGTGAAGAAGACAGGACAGGGGAGTGTGAGGTGAGCCTGTGCAGGAAGAGGGAGGCAGGGTGTGCCAGGCCAAGGGAGCAGCAGGGAGGGGTCCTGGAGGCTGGAAAGCCTTGGATCTCTGTGGTGAGCCAGGTGGAAGGGCCAAGGGCAGGCTGGGCTCATGAGGAAAGAGGCAAAATTTAAAAAATATAAAGCACACATCAAGCTTAGTCATTTCCCCCTGTTCAGCCCTGAGAATAACTCTCTCTGTCCCAGACAAGGTTGGGACCCTGCACCTCTGCAAGGGAGCTCACCAGCTGCCCAGCGAGTTGCACCTGGAACTTGACCCAAGTTGTCCAAAACATCAGGAAGCATGAGAGGCACAGAGAGTGCTGGGCTGGTGGGCCCCCTGGGTGCAGACTCACCCTCTCAGCAGTTTGGGCTGGGAGGCCTGCTCCCTGTTAAGCACTTGCCTCCCAGGTCTCACTGACAGCACCTCTCAAGTAGCCTTTGCCACACAGTATGCCCCTTAGACTCTGAAGAATTGTTGAGTAACATCGGAATTTGTCAGGTGCATCCTGGAACAGCCTTGGCCTCCGGGGCTTTCACTCAAACTCACACTATTACCCGGGGCTTCCTCCAAAGGCCTCCCTGTGGGAACTGACCCCTCTTGGAGGACCAGGAACCACCTTCTAGGGAAGCCACTTGCCTCAGGCATTGAGAAAGTAAGAGAAACCTTTCCCTTCCCACCTGCTGGGCACAGGACCCTTTATCTATCCCTTGCGCTTCTGTGTTATTTTGGAAGAAATACACCTACACTTGGAAAATGTAGAAAGGAAAATTGTACTAATGCCCCTTGATTGTTCCAAATCAAGGTAACTATTTTCAGTCTGCATTTTATCTTTTAGAACTCATGAAATTGCAGACTTGTGACTTCTCTGAGCTTCTGTTTCCACCTAGTTTCCTTCCTGTTTTCACCTGACTTGTCCATTTATTCAGCCTCAAATCTCTGAGTGCCTCACCCAAGCTGTCTGAGCACAGGTAACCAGGCTGAAGTAGGAGGCATATGTGGGAGCCTGGGTGGTGGAGGTGAGGCCATTGTACCTGCAAGCATTCTAGGTGGGGGCCATCAGGGCCCTTGGCAAGGCCAGTGTGAGTTCTTCTCCGGGAAAGGGAGGGGAGTCCAGCAGGTGCCCATGTTTCTTCTGTCCTTGGAAGGCTTGGTCAGTGCCAAGCACTTGGGACACAGTCTACAGAAACAGGTGTCCAGGGACCAGTTTGGAGGTCTCTGAATTGGCAAAAGGACCCTGGATATCTGTAACAGCTTGAAGTCAGAAAACACAAGAAAACCATAAAACCTCAACCAAGCAGAGTGAACCTCAGTGCAGAAGAAGCATGGCATGTCCTCATGAAGAGTAGTAGGAACTTGCAAATTCATTTCTTGGTGCCCAGTACTTAGCTCAGTGCATGAGAGGGGCGACAAGTGTTTTGTTGAAGGACAGGGAGAGAAGGTGGGGGAAACGGAGCGAAGTAAAGAGGGAGGGAAAAATTAAGCTTGCATGCAGATTTCTGGAAGCTCAGGAGCCCTCAGACTGCACAGGGGTTACATCCCTTCAGTTTCTTAAACTGCCACGAGGTGTGTCCTTCGGGTGAGTTGATTTCTATCACTACAAACTGACCAGTTTTTCCAGCTAAGGGGCCCAAATAGAGGGAGGAAGAGCTCTAGGCGGCCCCAGGTCTTGGTCTATGACTCAGGGCAGCCAAGCCCTGGAACGAAGGGAGGGGATCTGCTGCTGCTTCACCTGGATGACAAAGGAGAAGGCTCCAGAGAGCTGCACCCAGAGGTGTGCAGGACACAGCCCGGCTGAACAGGATGATGGCAACCACAGCCCATGGGGAGGAGGCCTGGCTCTCATCTGACCAGCCCAGCTGTTTTGGCCAGCAGTCCTGCTTGTGCAGAGCTGCTGTGGCATCATGGGAGGTGATTCAGACCCCATCACCTCTGCATCACCGCCCAGACCTCATCACCTTCCATGCTCATCTCTTCACAAACCTACAACCTCACAGACAGGATTTCCCAGACCCCACCTTTTTCCAAACAGTCAATTCCCAGACCCCTTCACCTCTCAGATCCATCAAACCCCCTAAATCCCTCAAACATCAGAGGGACCAGAATCCCAGTATTTCCAGGTGCTCTGAGACTAAACATCCTCTCCCTAAATCTGATCATTTGATGGGAGGGAGCAACACTGTGGGAAAGGACAACCCATTCTCAAGAAGGCCTTGTGATCACCTCCACTCAACAGGACAAATGCTCAGACACACGAGGGCTTGCATGTCCCACATCACCTTGGGATGTCATGTCGGCACTGGAAAAGGCACAGTAGATGTCCATGTGCTGACACAGGAGGATGGCCAGGGCAGCAGCATTTGGAGGTGAAAAGAAGAAGTTGCAACCCATGTTTTCTCTTTTTAGAATATAGCATTTGGTAAGTGTGTAAATAACTAAACCCCTGGAAGGACAGAAGCCACACTTTTGACAGTGGTTCCCTCTGGGGATGGGATTGGTGAGTAAGGGAGGGGTAAGGCTGAGGGAAGGAGAGAGAGGTCGTTTTCTCTGGAAACAGTGGACATGGAACATAGAACTTGTTGTTAGAAACCCCATTTAGGAAAACGCGTCTTGGCTCCAACCTGCTGACCAGTGGTGTCTCTTCATTCTGCCACACCAGGAACTCCTGCCTGAGCTAGCTGGGACAGGAGACCTTGCATCTCAGAGCTCCCCACTTCTGGAAACATCTTTTTCCTTCTCCCAATTCCTGAATGTCCCCAGCCTCTAACAGGCTGGACAGAGATAGTTGCACCTGTGAGTCCAGGGACAAGGAGTCATGCCTCCTGGCCCCGGACCCCTGGCTGATGAACACCCGCTACTCTTTGCTTGCTTGGACTGCCTCAGGCCCCCTGGTTGTCACCCCTCTTGCCCTGGGTTTCCTTCCTTCAGGAAGGACCTGAGCATTCAGGCAGCTGGCTGTTCTGAACTGCGGTCTCTGGCTTTCTCTTTTGCACATTGTCTTCCACAAAGACAGTCACATACTGGTCCAGGGCTTGCACCCCTAATTTTATCACAGTCCTGGCCCTCCCTCTGGTCCCATGTTGAAGGCACAACAGACATGTAAGCAGCGGCCCTGGAGAGCGTCAGGTTATGGTGAGTTCGGGACCTGGGTTAAAGTGTCCCTTCTGCAATTTACTAGCTGTGCAGCTTCAGATGAATTATTTGATTTCTGTGCTTTGGTTTGCTTGTCTGTAAAATGGCAACAGCAGTCCCTCTCTCATGGGGATATTTGTGAATTAAATGAGATAATGTGTCAAGTGTCCTTTTTAGTGTCTTCCATGAGGTGAACTTTAAGATGTGAAAGTTGGTATGAATTGATGGTCACAAAATCCCTGTGGGATTCACCACTGTCATGTGTTTGTCCTTTCACACAGCTTCATCTCAGAGGGTAAGTTTTTCCTCTACTGGACGCAGATTCCATTAGAGAACATTCTAGCTTTCACTCACATACCTGTGTCCCCACCTCCTTTCCTGGCAGTCACCTCCCAGGCCTGAGGCTATTTCTGTCCCTTCCTCTTTCAGCAAGTGGAGGTTTCTGTTTGGTCACTCAGGAG